TAAAGAATGATGTTGCAACCACTCTTAACTCCTCGTCTTATTGCTAATGGCTTGTCTTTTAATATCGCTGGCTTGACAAGATGTAAATGGACAATTCTTTTCTGATTTTCCTGCAAAGGTGCTTGCAAAACTGTTCACCCGCAAAGTTTCATGCAGACTGCATGGGTGAAGTTAGTTCCAGGTCACGGCTGTAGGCACAGAACATTTATAAGATAGTTTCAAACATCACGTCTACATTTACAAGATTGACGTTTTAAAATTAAAAAAAATAATAATCACACAACATTCTGCATGAATCCTGTCTGACTCTTTTCTCAAAAAGACTATTAGCTAAATGCCCCTATGAACTTCATGGCATAAAGGTCTATTTAGAGTATGCAGAATATTTCTTTTTCTCAAGATGTGTGAAACATTATGTGGTTGTACTAACAATGGGCGGGGATTACTATAAAGTTTCCAGAAGTTGTCAAGAGATTGTCAAACATTTTTATAATGATCATCTTAAGCAGAATGTACTTCTCTTCCCCTCATACAGATACGGATTTTTATTTTAGAATTGGGGGGAGGGGTTATGATGAATTAATGTGGATTTTCAATGGTTAAAAACCCCTGCACTTAAATGGTTTAAACAACCATAGCAATATCAACATGTTTCAGTTTTCTTCAGAGCAATAGTGAGCCCCAACTTGAATGGGAAGGGGTGTCTGGGGGAGAGAGAAGTAGAGGAATGGTATTCTTAGTTTGCCCTGGAGAAAACTTCTTGATGGCTGAGGTGTGTTTATAAGCAATTACAATGACAGAGGGCAACAAGCTGGGTTGGAGGGGAGAAAGAGAGGGAGAGGGTTTGGAAGAAAGGGAGAGTGGTTGGCGAAGACAGGTTTAGGAGAGGTTGGATGGGGTTCGGAGAGGCGTTGGAGGGTGGACAATCAAACTACTAAAATAAAAAGGGAAAACACCAAAGCCAGGTAATGCCTTTCTAAGTGCATTATCATTATTTGATTAACTGACCACAAAAACATTAGTTAACAAACTAACTGCGTAGATTGTTTAAATAAGAAATAATGACGTGCTCAACAGTGCGGTGAATCTCACAATGCACTACCATACATATATTGAGTCAAGGGTAACAGACAAGTCATACATGTAATCTTTGAGTACATATTCTTGTCTTTCTGACCTTGATCGGGTTTTCAAATAGGTTTTGTTTTGGGGAAGAGAATTTTGTTAAAAAATAATAAAATTCAAAAAAAAATCTTTTATCGAGACTTCTCTAAACCATTTGTCAGTCGAGCTCAGAATGTGTTCATATGTCCAGATACTTTCACTTAATGGCGGTGCAATAAGATTTAATTCGGAGACCGCACCATCGTGCTGGGGGTCAGCTGCAATCACAACTGATATCTGATGTGATGACTTTGTGTCAAGTTTGATTTTAAACAAACTCGGTCAGTTGATTTTTTTTTGTACTGTTTGTGACCAATTTTGTTAAGATGTAAGGATTAGATGTATATCCGATCCCTACAGCAGTGCTTTGTAAGATAAGCTTCTCAAGGCCCAGCTCCCAGGAAAGCACCTCGACTTTTAAAAATTGAGATTTAATGGAAAAAAAGCACTCAAGATTTTAAAGCTACTGTGTATGTAGACAATATATGTATGTGATTAAAAAAATAAAAGATACCTTTGAAATGGGAAATGATTTCTCAATTGTGTAATGATTGATCAATTACATGGCACGTTGCCATCCGTGATTCTCATGACAGTTTTGGAATTGCATCCATATCTTGGCCTCGAGATGAGGTGCTGGAGTGATTTAGCTATTGATCATGTAAAAAGGAGGATGTAGAGATCACAAGTCTAGTTTGCCACTCCAGTGCAATTCTGGGGAAGCGCTATATTGTCTGAGGTGCCATCCTTCAGGTGAATTGTTAAAACCGAGTTCCCATCATTTTCACATCCATTTGTGTGAAAAAATACACTTGTATTGTGATCTTCACTTCTAACCATCCTAGCTCTAATTTTAATATTATGCCCCTTGTTTTGGATCCCTCTGCTGCTGTATCATCTAGCTTGTCAATTCCCTTCATTATTTTTAAAACCCTCAATCAGATCACCCCTTAGCCTCTTTGATTCAGTTCAGCTAAACCTTTTTTTTAGCCATTAATCTAGTGATTCACCCCAACACAATCTCAAAACTAATGTATGTTGCTAGACTACAAAAAGGGCGCTATATAAATGCAAGTTGCATTTGTAGAATAGGTTGAGCTACCTACAAACTAGATTTTAACAATTTAAGGACTTGGATCCCTAGATCCTTTTGAGACATCTCAACAACGTGATAAGGTACTATATCAAATGCAAGGATTATTTTTATTTATTTGCTCCTTTACACTTCCGATTGTTTCCCCATTTGGAACATGTTCCCATCCACTATTTGTACCACCTTACATGTTATATTAAACTTTATCTGCCAAGTTTAGAGAACAATAGAGGACTGACTCAAAGATTTTGAGCACCAAGTTATGAAAAGAGACGGACAGGGTTTAATCGTTTTTTTGAAAAAAAGATGAAAGAGCATGGAGAAGAGACATAATCCAGCTGTTTAAATTGATGAGAGGCATAGATGCAAACAGGTTTATTCGACTTAAGACAATAAGAGAACTAAAGAGCAACAGGTTTAGAATTAAAAAGCCTCAAGCCTCATCTCCATGTCTCTGTCCTATCCCAGAGCCTACAATTTGGGTTCTCTAATGGCTTCTCCTCCCACTCTCGCCCAGTCACATGTATTGTTCCTCAGGGCTCTATCCTCAGTTCTCTCTTCTTTACCAGCTCTATAATTCCCCCTTGATGATATCTTCCTGGGGTATGGCGTCCACTTTCCTCTGGATGCAGATGACACCCAACACCACCTCTCTGCCTATACCTGTGATTTAAGGATCAATGCTGTGCTGACCGTAATTATGCCTGTCAGATACCAAAACCTGGATAAGCTCTAACTTTCCACAGCTCAATGTTTACAAGACCAAGGCACTTCTAGTTGGCTTCTATCAGGACCTCCTCACCTCAGGCAAACTACATCAAGTTATCAACCTGCATGGATGCTCACTCTACCTCACTGAGTTTGTGTGGAATCTGGTGTGCCCCCCCCCACCCCCAGCTATCTTTGATACCCGCGCTTGTTGGATGTCGAATGACCAACTAGTGACTATCCTCCTTGAGGAAGGGGGACGTAAGCTGGGTCTTCTTGGAGCTGAAATGTCTCCAAGGTGAATAGCTTGACAACAGAATGGCAGAATCGAGTCCATCCCCTGTGGTGGTCTCGGTAATAATAAGTTCTTGTATTTGATATAGCGCTTATCACGTCTGCGAGACTTCTCAAAGCACTTCACAGAATATACTTTAAAGTGCAATAATTGTATATTTTGTGGGAGAAACACAGCAGACAATTGCGCCCAGTAGTGTCCCACAAACAGTCGTATCCCCAGTGAACAAAGTATTGTTATCATTATTTACTTTTCAAGGAAATATTACCCCCGATCCACCAATCAACTAACCGACTTACTGATAAGTAAATAGAGGCGTGTGGAGCAAGGAAACATGCCCAATGTTTCACTCTACCTGGGAATCGAACCCAGTTCCTCAATACACCTACAGGACTCTACAGGTAGTCCAGTTCCTGAGCCAGGTGTGTATGCACTATTCCAGGGCACTGCTGATGACAGCAAAGCCAGCCCATCGGCGGGACTTGGAAGGGCAGTCCACTGATTGGGGGCAGGGACTCTTGCCCCTCATTTCCTGCAACCCTGTAAGCCAAAGCCCTATTGGAGAGGGAGTTCTAGCTGCGGTTTTAGCTGGTTAGACACCAGTGGTACCAGATGCACCATCTAGAGTCCAGGCAGGGCGAAACCTTGGGCAAGTTTCCTTACTCCACACGCCTAATAATCATCCCTCCAAAAAACAAAACAATAATAAATTGTTCATTTTCAATCCACGACTGTTTGTGGGACATTGCTGTGCGCAATTGGCTGCCGCGTTCGCCCACAAATATACAGTCAATTCACTTTACAGTGTGTTCTGTGAATCGCTTTGGGACGTCCTCCCGACGTTAAAAGCGCTATATCAAATGCAAGGATTATTATTATTATTATTATTATTAGAGTCCCCAAGCCTTGGCTGTTGCCAACCTGTGCCTCATACTCTCAGGAATTAAGTAAGCAGGATGTGTCCCTCCAGGAAGTGCGTATTCCATTCCAATAAATGCCTCAGGAATTTCCATGTATTGGTGGGAATCATGGAACACTGTTTGGTTTGGATACTCTTAAGCACGGTGATAAGTTTCCGAATGTATCAGACACCCAGCTGATCAGAAAAAAAATCTATCTTTGACTATTGCATTGGGCTTCTCACTGAATTTGTCCGTTTCTCTCTCCACAAGCTACAAACTATCCAGAATTCTGCATTCTATGTCCTCTCCTGCACTGGGATCTTCAAGCCTGTCACCCCCAACTTCACTCAGCTCCATTGGCTTCCCATTCCCCAGTGAATCAAATTCATGATTCTCATCCTCATCTTCTGATGCCTCCATGGCTTCAACCCTCCTTACTTTTGTGACTTCCTGCGACCTATTGCCCCAGGCTGCTCTCTCCGTTAAGCAAACACTGGTCTGCTTCATCCTCCCCCACCCTCTGAAACTCCATCACAGGGTCCCACTGTATTGCCATCTCCCTCTTCGTACCTTCAAATCTCCCTTTAAGACCAATCCCTTCAACCACAGGTTTCAGTCAACTTTCTTATCCTCACCACCACTCCATCTCAGCCCCCCTCCCCCACCCTCTTCCCCTCCCAATTCAGGCTCCCAGTGAGTTGCTTGAAGTGCTTTGGGATGCCCTCCAGATGTGAAAGATGATATACAAATGTAAATTGCTGTTAGTGTACTCTGCTGAGTATGACAATACGGCATTATGGAACAAAGCAACACACCAAGAAGGAGGTTTAGGTAATCCATCTGTTATATTTTTTATAAAATATGTACACATTTTTTTGGTCATGAACAAGTAAAATGGTAAAGCAAGTAAAGCGGCATCACACAAGTCAATATTTAGAATCCCTCTTCCGAATCGCCTCTGGACCTCTCAGGATTCTCTCATCCCCTGCAAGAAAAAGGGATGGGGAGGAGGGGGGGGGGGGGCGCGGGCAGTTTTCAAAAAAAATTTAATTACAAAAAAACCCAACCATACCACGATGCTAAAAAATAGCTTACATTAAGTGCAAGGTAAAAGCCTCGATAAAAAGCTTAATTGCGACACAACAATATTAATTTCTGCAGTTTAAATACAAGACTTTCATTAAAGGTTTCCTGTTTTGCTTTGAAATACATAGTCTTACAGATGCCACTGATTTTGTTTTTAAGCTATATACACAACCAGCTGTAACACTTAACAGTAACATAATTACATGGGAGTTTATAGGTTATAGTAACGTGGTAAGTACACAACTAAAATACTGGCAACTCATGTTGAAATGTACTTTCTTTTCCTCCAACGTGTTTAATGTTATTGAGTGCTATCTCCAGACAGGTGACCAGTCACCTGGTTTTGTACTCTATAGCCACAGTCTCAATGCTTTGACCTTTATTGTATCCAGATGGTATTATTCCTCTCTGGCCTTCTTGGCTCCACAGTCAGATCTCCAAACGTTGAGAAAAATTGCTCCATTTCCTTCTGTAACATTTCATTCCGTTTCTCCGCATCCTCCCGGGCACGTTCGGTGTTCCTCATTTTGATTTCCACCATGGTGTACTTCTTCCTCTCCTGGTCCAGCTCTTCATGCAGCACCATCAATTCAGACTCCAGCTCTACATTCTTCTGCTCCACACTGATAACAGCATAAAATTAGTGATTAATTACAAATAAGCAAGAAAGTGGCAAAATACTCAATGCTGATGAATAATAATAATAATCCCAATAATAATACCGGCATTTGATACAAAGCCTTGCATGTCAGGAGGACGTCTCAAAACGCTTCACAGGATTTATTGTAAAGTGTAGGAACTGTGTATTTTGTGGGGAGAAACCAATTGCCTTCAGTGAAGTCATTCACTTCATTGGCTGTTTGTGGGTTATAGGCGATGTAGTGAGTGATTAATTTTATCTGCGGGCTTGTTGGTTAGGACACCAGGGAGAAACTCCCTTCTCCTTCAAAATAGTACCAACGGGATCTTTAACAGCCACCTGAACAGAAAGATGTGACCGTGATTTTTTTTAATGTCTCATGCAACAATACAGCACACTCCAGCACTGTTTTGGAGCATCAGCCTAGATTGTGTGAGTTAAATGTGATGGGTAGATGTGGACCGAAAGTTCGTGGTATTCATTTTGGACAGTCAGTTTAAGATGATTATTTCAACACAGTGGATATATATCCATATGGCATATACAATAGTTACAGGAATATAATAGGCAGGAGGAGGCCCTTCAGCCCATCCAGGATGTCCTGCCAGTTTATTATGTCTTTCTCTACATCTATGTATACGCCTAATAATAATCCCTCCAAAACAAAACAATAATAAATTGGTCATTTTCAATCCACGACTGTTTGTGGGACATTGCTGTGCGCAATTGGCTGCCGCGTTCGCCCACAAATATACAATCAATTCACTTTACAATATATTCTGTGAAGCGCTTTGGGACGTCTAGAAGACGTGAAAAGCGCTATATCAAATGCAAGGATTATTATTATTATTATTACACAATTTTAACACAACTTTTCTTAACAAAAAGAAACTTTTCCATGTAAACTGGTATAGGTGCACCAAGTTTAGTCCAGTTCTACTTCAGAACATCCAGAAAAGTGTGGTTGTTTGAACTTCATTAATTTGTTTTAAAAAGAAAATAATATTAAAATAAGTAATTTTTCCCAGCTTCAGTGGGTATTGGTTCCCAAACCTCAAATGCAGAGTTAGCCCACAAAAAACAGTCAAAAACACAAAGAAACACTTCACAATAAATCACATGAAACGCTTTGGGACTTCCTTCCGATGTGAAAGGGTGACACCAAATTTAAGGATTGTTCTTATTATTAATAAATTGACAACCTCACTCAAGAGAGAAAGATTATGTGGTAATTGGAAAATGTCATACAGTTAAGATTATGGAAATGCTTTTGTGAGATTGGGGCTAAGATATATTTTTGGAGTAGATGACGACACTAGTTTACATTTTAAAATATAAAGTTTGCATCAAGCAAATACCAAGAAATATGTCCGTTCAATGCTATAGATTGGTCTGCCTCTGTTCTCAAGTCAACATGCGTTCTCTGTCATCCTGCTGGCATCTTACTGTCATGGTTAACTGGCATAGAAAATACTACTAATAATAATTGTTGCATTTTAAATAGCCTTTCACATCAGAAGGATGTCTCAAAAAGCTTCAAGGGCTTTAAAGTGCAGTGACTACATTTTATGTGAGAAAACGTAGCCAAATAATCACAGCAATGTCCGACAAACAGCGATGAAGCAAACAGCCAAGTTTATCTGGCAGGAATGTTGGCCAGGACACCAGGAAAAAAATCCCTTCTCTTTTCCGAAGAGTGCCATAGGATTTTTAACGTTCATTTGAACAGGCAGATGGGACCTCCATTTAACATTTCATCCAACAATGCAGCTCTCCCAACCAGCCTAGCTTGTGAGTTCAAAGTCCCATCAGAGGGCATGAACCCACAAACTTCTGAATGAGAGACAAGAGTACTACCTGAACGAGGCTGATTTAGAAAAGCAAGTAATGGCAACTTGTTTGTGAGACATCAGCCCCTAGTTGTAGCTGTCTCTGTCTGAGCGCCCATGTTGCATTTAAATATATAAAAATTGAGGTCTGGAGCCAGAGAGAGATACGTTACAGTGAATAGTGATGTCTGGAAATATATTTTTTTACAAAACTTGTTTAAAATGATAGGTGTGTAAGTATGTTCAGAAGTAGAAACAGACTTGATCAAACCCTATTTTGATACTGTTTATCCAATCAAAACATGAAGTGCTCTCCAGGCATGCACTGCATAAACTAGAGGTTGCTTAACCTAAACCTGACCAGTAGGACCTTTCTAATCACCACCCACCCTATACAATCATTTTGGCTCAATGGCAGAAGTTTATCCTCTGAATCAGAAGGTTGTGTGGGTTCAAATCCCATGTCAGGACTTGAACTCACATAGTCTAAGGTGACATTCCAATCCAGCACTGGGAGGGATGTTGCATTGTCACAGGCAACAACAACTATTTGGATTTATATAGCGCCCTCCACGCCGGACTGCATCTCAGAGCACAATCTTTCGGATGAGATGTCAAACTGATGCCCCATCCATCTCTTCAAGAGGATATTAAAAATCCCATGGCAATATTTGAAAAGAGAAGGGAGTTTCTCCCACTGTTCTGGCCAACAACCCCCCAAATAAAATTGGTTACTTTTTTTATGACTGTTTGTGGGATATTGCTACTCGCAATTGTGCTGTCACATTTGCTTAGAAATACACAGTCACTCCCTTTCACAGTAAATCCTGTGAAGTCCTATGAGACGTCCTTCCAACGTTATAAGGTGCTATACCAAATTATTATTATTGCAGTCACGACCCTAGAGTCACCACCCTTTGATAAATAATAATAAACTTTGCATTTCATATAGCGCTTTTCATGTCTTCAAGACGTCTTAAAGAGCTTCACAGAATATAATGTAAAGTGAATTGACTGTATATTTGTGGGCGAAACGCAGCAGCCAATTGCACACAGCAATCAAAACATGAAGTACTCTCCAGGTATGCACTGCATAAGCTAGTGGTCCCACAAAGTCGTGGATTGATTGTCCAAATTATTATTTTTTTNATTGAAGGATTATTATCAGGTAATAATTATTGATAGGTCCTCTTGACATGAAAGGGTTTTTTATCCTACATATCCTACAGGAGTCCTGTAGCTCAGTGGTTAGAGCACTTGCCTTGCAAGTGAGACACCTGGGTTCAATTCCAGGCAGGGCGAAACCTTGGGCAAATTTCCTTACTCCACACACCTAATAATAATCCTTCCAAAACAAAACAATAATAAATTGGTCATTTTCAATCCACGACTGTTTGTGGGACACTGCTGTGCGCAATTGGCTGCCGCGTTTTGCCCACAATATAAGGTCAATTCACTTTACAGCATATTTTGTGAAGCGCTTTAAGACGTCGAGAAGACGTGAAAAGCGGCATATCAAATGCAAAGATTATTATGATTATTATATCAAATGTTGGCATTATATATTTATGTATTACTATAATAGCATGCTGCTCAGGAGTTGTAGGTCCATAGTCAACCAAGGTAGACATAACCACAGTCCTGTAAGCCAAGGCCCAGGCAGTACATAGTACAGTGCTGGGAAAGTCTCTTTACGATTTCATGCTCAGCATCATTGATGTACACCTAACACTGAGCAACATTTCTAAAAATATAGTAACATGAGCTGAAAACAAATCTCAGATGTTCTAATAAATTTACATAAACAGTACTTATTCCTATTTATTTGCAAGCAAATTTTATTTTGCTTGCACCACATGTAGATAATGGATACAACTGTTAAGACCTACCTCAGCCAAAGTATTGCTTTCAAAGGTGATGTCAGCTCATCTGTGTGGTGACAATAAGATACCAGACAATTTTGAGGCATATATTATGGGGTTAAGTATGAGTGCCAATGATAGACATGATGTCCATCATCAGGGATTCCCATTATCGGAAAGGAATTCTTCTGAATTTGTATTTAAGGCTTAATGTTTGAGTAGCTTTACGGAGCAGCAGAATGTGTGGAACTTAACTGCAGAGTTTGATGCTGATACCACGGACCTAAAATGGAAAAATGTTCCATTTCCTAGCACATTCCCCCCCCGATGTGCACAAAATGCACCAGAAACAAAAGTGATTTTATTCACTGAAAGGTGCCTACCTTTTTATTCTTGCTTCATACTCAATCTTCTGCTTGGTTACCTCTTGCTTCAGGCTTGCAACCAGACTGTGCAAAGCACTGTGATTGCCCGTAGAAGCATTAGAGACAAATGTGTCACTGTTATCACTGCTATTAGTCCCACGGCTACTGCGACTGCCCCCACTACTCCGCTCATACTTGTTCTCGTATTCCGTCTGAAGGGACTGCTCGTGTGCCGGTCCCTCCAACGCCGGGTCCTCATAGTTCCCCACGTAAATATCTTGGTCTGGGCAGGTGGTCGTGGAGGAGCGACAGGAATTTGAATTCTCTAGCAGAGAGATCTCACAGGATGAGGTGGACCAGGTGGCACTGTCCACGCTTTGCTTGTCGTCACAGTTTGAAAGTAAAAATTGCTGCTGAACATTGTCATAGGTGGACAGTCTATTCTGTTGCATAGATTCACTGAGTCCCAAGTCCTTGGACTTACTGTCTCTCAATGTCACATACCCATTGGGCATCCAGCTTCCAATTCGGTTGTTTAAAGAGGAATTCATCATATCTGCACTGGAGATTCCCATTCTCACTCCCCCATTCTGCACACTGCCGGTCCCCATTTTAGTCCCAGTTCCTTTTAGTGATGAGTTCCTTCTGGCCTGCAGGCTTCCGTTTGGCAACGATTGCATTTTCTCCTGGTTCTCGGTAGGACTGCTGAAGGAGCCGTTGGTGACTATGCCACTACCCTTGGAATACGCAGGATTTTTTTTCACCATGACAGGTGGACTTCTGTTAACATCCACTTTGCTCAGGCTGGTCCTGGGGCTCCCCGATCTGTTGCTGCTGTTCAGGGCAGTTGGAGACCCGCACTCATTGCTTGCCCTTTGTGAAGTTTCTGAATTGTCCCAGGAACACTGACGAACTGCCTCGGGCGTTGGCTTTTTGTTCTCTTTATTCAGAGGCTGTGGAAACGTTACTGTGGTTTTCTTTGGCATTTCATTGTTGTTGTTGCACCCATCCTGCCTGGTCTGAATCTCCTCTCCTTCTTTGGGAAATAACCTGTTATGTTCACTTATCAAGACCGACATTAATTGCTGAACCAGCACTGTACCTGCAAAAGGGATATCAATTTTTAATTCTCTGGAAGAGCATATTGGTTAGTCTACAGGTTGCACTCATATGACAGTTATTACACTGGACTCCGTGCTGTCCGTTTGGAACTGAGTCACAAAGACCTAGGTTTCATCTTAGGTCAAATTGTAAATACACTTACAAAATACATAGCCACTACACTTTACAGTAAAAGCCCTGTGAATGAGTTTGTGATTCTTCCTGACTTGAATAGCAGTATAACAATTTTTTTTAATTACGTAGGTAAATACGTAAATCTTTTTTTTATTTAGGTAGGTGTTTACGTAGGTCTATGCAGAGTTAGCTGATCTGAGAGAAGCTGTTGGTAGCAGAGATACAATGTGCCTCAGTGCCACAGGCTAAAAGGGAAATTAAACTGTCTCTCTCGCTTTCTTAGGATCAACTATGATGTTCTCCGGTCTGAATTTCGAAAGACTAAGCTTGAAATCTCTCATGTTCTTCATCTTAAAATTTAAGATTGCGTGGTGTGTAACTTTAGAATACAATACAGTCGTATCTTGCAAGCTAGTCCTGAAAAGATACTGTCATTAATAATAATCCTTGCATTTGATATAGTGCCTTATCACGTCTTTGAGATGTCTCAAAGCATTTCACAGTATATACTGTAAAGTGAATTGACTGTATATTTTGTGGGCGAAACGCAGCAGCCAATTGCGTACAACAGTGTCCCACAAACAGGCATGGATTGAGTGACCACATTTTTTTCTTTCGAAGGGATTATTACACCCAGAAAAATGATCCACCAATCAAATAACAACCAGGTTCCTACCTACTGCTAAGTAAACAGAGGCGTGTAGAGTAAGAGAACTTGCTTACATTTTCGTCCTGCCCAGGAATCAAACCCAAGGCAAGTGCTCATTATTTGGTTTCCAAACTAAAGCTTAATTTAAAACTGGTTTCAAAGTTTAAGTTAATCTTCAATTTTAAGACGATGGCAGTTTAAGAACATGGGTTTTGGGACTCAGGTGTCAGCCTGGCTCAGTTGGTAACATTCTCGCCTGAGGGCAGGGCATCGGGATTAAAAGATCTGTAATAAACTAGTGGAACAGGCTCAATGGTTGAATGATCTTTTCCTGTACTCAAATGTGATTTATATCCTTTCAAATTATACTTGTTTATTATAATAATGATGTTTGCATTTGATATAGCTTCACAGAATTTACTATAACTGTGTATTTTGTAGGTGAACTATCATGGAGAATATAAAAGAGATTCCTGGGCGTGTTTTGATGGTTTGAATACTGTCCCATTGAACGCCAAAGTGCTTAGTTAAACAGATCCCGTCTTCCCCAGCCCTGGCCCCTTGTGTGAGGATTGAACTCAGGTTTCCAGCCTGTTGAACTGACTACAACATGACATGAAGGTCGTTTATTATATTCCCTTCAAACTCACATCCAGATGGCAATAATTATGCAATATTCCAATACATGGGAATTCCTTTAATTCCCCAAGCAATCTTACATGTCATATCAATTCATTTTAATTAAAGTTGATTTAATTTAAGTTTTAATAGCCAGCAGTGGCTTTCAAACACAGTGGCTTATCTTACAGTACCACTGCCAGTTTGTATACTTTATACCTCAGGAGGTTTATTGTATGAATCGTATTGGCTGAGGATGTAATTCTATTCAGGAATGTTGCAGAGGATGTCTCTTGTATATAATACAGTTAGAAAAATCAGTTCCATCTGGCTTTTCGATTCTCTTTTAGATTTAAGTACATTTTCCGTACCTTTAAACGGGACTGCATTTGTAACTATACAACCTGGTCAGATCACTACCTCCAATACAAGTATCAGAACTCAGACTGTTATGGGTGTTTTTGTCAAAAAGTTTGACCAAATGGCCTTCTTCTGTGCTGTACATTTCGATGGCTTTCTTTTTTAAAATTTGGTATTGACCGTATATGAGCACAAAGATATGATACAAATTAATATTGTTCCCTTTTCTTCCCTCTCTTTGCTCTGCTTTGGAGAGATTTTCCACTGGGTCTAAATTTACTCAACTGACATAGCATTTCATTGGGTCTAGAAATGGGTAAATTCTAAATTGTAATTTTGAAATTGAAGCCGATTTTATATATCATTTTACGAAACTACAGGAAACCAACTTCAAAGTTAAGTCTGAATCCAACACTTTACCAAATTCTGCACCATGTGAAATGTTATTTAAATAGAGTGAATCTGATCTCAACACCCAGCCCCCGCCACCTTCTCAAGCTGTACGACTAAATAGAGAATGGTCAGGTTTTGTCTCTAAGCCTCCCTCCAATGGCTGGGCAGAGAGCAGTAACAATATAGATAAGCAATGAGCAAAGAGCTCTATGGTTGGGTCATAAACATTATTCTTTGTGATTGATTGCAGAAGAAAAAGTTTCACGTCCGGATATGGAAATTTACCTTCCATAATAGTGACTGGGTCCTCAATCTTTGGTCGCAGTATGTTTGGACCAAACACTGTCGCTAGATTCTGAACGCTCATTTTGTTTATGTCGGAGTAAGACTGCACCTCATCCAAGAACCTGTGAAGAAGCAAACAGGGTTTACATAGAGCAGCTAGGTTCTATATCTATATAGCTATGTTCACTGCTTCCTACTGCCGGCCACATGCATTATCACATAACACACTTTGGTTTGGGAAATGTGCTACAGTACAGGGGTTATTATTTTTTAATCCATAAGATAATTTTGTGCGAAATCCCATCACTGAACGAAGGTCAATTCACTTGATATACACACAATATTCAGGTTTACCTGCAGGTGTACTTTAGCAAGTTGAAGTTGACTGGGGGAAGTGTCTTCACTTGTTTAGTTAGTTCCTTCATCCCCTGAAAGAAATGGAAAGAGGTCAACACCAAATTACTTGAGATGTTACCTTCAATAGGTTGTTGCTGGATTCATTACACATCATTGAATACATGCCTTCATAACTCGGTAAATGCAGCTATTTGAAATCAAGGTTACAATTATAGCAATAATAGGAGTTGGTTTACAGTGCCTTTCATGCATTGTGATCAGAAGCATGTCTGGACGTGCGCATTTTGGCTGCTGCCCCTGAACTGCCAACCCCCTCCCAAATTATCCCATTTTTGCCCCCTATGCTCCATTACTGACCCCACCCCCCTGACCCCGACTCTACTCGTCCTCCACCCCTCCCGAATCCAACCTCTAGCTTGGGTGCAAACCCTCATCTATCCAGCGACTTGGGACGTCCTCCAGACCAGAAAGGCGCTATATAAATGCAATTTGTTGTTTGTATTTCTGTCATGCAACGGGCATTCCCTCTTTCAGTGATAAAAGATGTAACAGATCACAGTAAACAGAGAAAAACGCTCTCTCCCTCAGGCTCACTGCCATCTGACTGGGCTAATTTATTTTAAAGGGCACATGATTCTCTTATAACAGGGGCAGCACCACTCCTGGCTGCCAGTGAGAAACTCTCCTTACAGTCAGTGATATCCACAGTAGCTATATCCATCTATACACACTAGTTGTGTACTGTGACACATACATTTGTCACAGAACACATGCATATAACACATGCAAGTTAATTAAATATGTCCGTAGATAGATAAGGAAAGAAGGAAATGTCCAAATGGATGGAGCCAGCTTTTGTGTAAATCTCAGGATCAGTTCAGAGAAAATGCAGATGGAATTCTTACATTCTCTTCGTCCTTGGTGAACAGTTTGGCAGAGGAGAGGAACTCATCATATTTAGCGTAGGGGATGACAGGCTCAGGCAGCTCTCGCAGGTATAGCTTCAGTAAAGAGGCAACAGTGTGTACATCTGTATTACTGAAACAAAGCAAATAACAGGTTATTTCAAAGCAATCCCTCAGACAGGTCATGGGCCTCTTTTAGAATGGAAACCTTGACTACACATGCAGGGAAACCCATTACTGATAATAACATGGGTTAGAATTTTACAGATCCCAAACACTGCCTTGTAACTGGTCTACACTGTATTTAATTTGTTAAGTCTTTGTTCATGCTATTGAGGAACTCTTGCTGTTTTGTAGAGATGACACATTTAGCTCCAGATCAGATTACATTTTTTGAGTTATTATAAGAGATTTCAAAGTGGGTTGAATAATGCACTGCTTAAATAGACAGCACTATAAATAAAATTGGTAATCCACTTCATGGCTGCTTGTGAGATATTGCTGTGTGCAAACTGGTTGCTACATGCACCCACAAAACACAAAATATACAGTCAGTCCACTTTACAGTATTTCCTGTGAACCACTTCGGAATATCTTCTTCTGATGTGAAAGGGATTTATACCAAATGTAAGGATTATTATTATTACATATACGTAAAATAGGACACACATATATTAAGTTCTTTTTCCTGCAAGTAATTATGGATTGTTTACTAGTGCACTACTGAGGAACTTGGTTTTCTGCTCTTGCAACAGAAAATAAAGAAGGGAATTTCAGCACCAGAGTAACTGCAGTATAATCTGCCACACACACTGTCTGTCCATTAGTGACTGCTTTCTCTGATCTGTCAACAGCAAGGCAGCTGTTGACAGATAAGCAAGACCACAAAATCTAATGTCACCACATCTATTTTCTCTTGAGGACACAAGCGTTGCATGTTTGACAAGTTTGATGGTGATTTGCTAATCATCTTATTTGAATTAAAATGCTATTATTAATTACTAGAATTAAAAATAGTAGGCATTCACTTTATGGCTTTTGTTAGGCTGGTTATCAATCAGTCTTGTTCACTTGTTGACACATTCTTGTGTCTTGGTGATTAGATAGCATTGCAATCTAGCTGTTGACATATTGTGCATTCCAACAAATTAGCTGAATATGGTTCAACAATCCAGTCAACAGTAGCTTCATATAAACAAGATAATGATTTGTTTCATTCAAATTATTAAGTGTTTATGAATACCATAAAATGTACAATGTATTTCATTTCTACAGATTTTCTTGTTTTAAAAACTATACCGACGTTATGAAGACAAACCCCATAAACGCTGTATAATTATAACTGTATGAAAAAGGAGGAAAAGACAAATTGGATGATTAGCAAATCACGGTCAAACTATTGTCAAACATACAACGCTTGTGTCCTTAAGAATAAATAGATGCGTTGACATTAGATTCCATGGTCTTGCTTAGGTAATTGATCAACCCCTGATTCCATGCTGAACACATTCACCTCAATGCTCAATAGTTCATGATTCAACAATGTAAACCTTTGTACTGTAACCAGTGTTATCTGAAAGCAGGCAGCAGATTACATTTCCTGGGGCGAAAAAATACCCCATAAGATTAGCTGCCAATATATTAACTCATTGTTACCCCATCACCATTACAAAAAAAAGGGGGAATCCAGTGCATTTTTGTTAAAATGAATCCAACTACTATTGTTTCAGAACCTCCTCCTGTTTAATTGTACACTCAAATTCTTTCCCACCTGAATGGGGAGTGACATTATGTTTTGTTATTAATAGTGGTTTTACTGGACACATTAAAATGATCACTTTTCAAAATAAAACTTTGGAGTTAAAAAAGTGCGAGAGGGTCACTTATTTTACTGGTCCAGGTCCATCTCCAGCAATTACTAGAACATACTTGTTATTCAGTACTAAACTGTTGTTTCCACTGCCCCGAGTTTCATTGCTCTGTTATTCTCTGTTATCCCACGTCAGTATTTGGCCTCACATAGTCTAAGCTGATGCTCAAATGCAATGCTGGGGAGGTGTTGAATTGTTGGAGGTTCTGTCCTTCAGATGAGATGTTAAACCGATGTTCCATCTGCCTATTCAGGCAGACGTTAAAGATCCCAGGGCACTATTCGAAAAAAGAAGGGAGTTTCTCCCGGTGTCCTGGCCAACAATCCCCCAAATAAAATTGATCCCTCATTTCATGGCCGTTTGTGGGACGTTGCTGGGTCCAATTGTGCTGCTGCATTTGCCTACAAATACAGTCACTTCGCTTCACAGTAAATCCAGTGAAGTGCGTTGAGACATCCTTCCGATGTGATAAGGCAACATACCAAATCGAAGGATGATTATTACTAATTATTACTAATAAAAGGAACTCTGCTAGAAACAGCTGAAATAAACAGACTTTGTTTATTAAACCCCGCCCGGTCCGCCCCACCATCAGGCCGTCAGCCTCTCTGCCCCCACCCTCTGGAAATCTATCCCATATTCCCTCTGCCTCGCTCCCTCCCTTGCCACTTTTAAGGCACACCTCAAGTCTCTACTCTTCGACCGTGCCTTCGGCCACCCTCCTACCCTCTCTGTCCTTCACCCTCCCTGATCACTATCATCCCCCCCCAACCCCCCCCCACTCAGGTCCTAATCCCCAACTGTTCAGCATCTTGGGACATCCTCCCAACGTGAAAGGCGTTTTATAAATGTAATTTTGTATTGTATTTGTTTAGATTTTCTCCCCTCCACCAAAAGTGCTAACGTATGTCATGGAATGGTCCCACAAGCCTGAACAGTGAATGTCAGGTTATTCAGCTGTGAAAGAGATTCAGAGCAGAGTCTTATCCTGTCTTCACCTGGCACTGACATACATTCACACACACACCTACATATACAGACACGCATACCACACACCCACAAATATATACATATACACTATCCAGCAGAAATCACTCAATTGAGTGAGCAATGGGGAATCTGATTCTGGTATTGTATCCTCCTGTAATCTTCACTTCATCTTCTAATCAATTGTGATTTAAACCCAGACCTGGCATTATCCAACCGCTTCCATGTTGAACTGTTTCTCTGCCTTGATTATTCATTTACGTTCTGAATTTGAACTGTTCACACAGTGCTGCTAATCTCTAGCTTTTACATGTGAATGAAGTTGACTGTTGGAGGGATGAGTTAGAGAACTAATGTTCTCACAGGCAGTGAAGCAGTGAAAGAGTAAGTTACATCCTTTATATTTCCAAGTTTCCTATCTCATTGTGGTGCTGTGGGAGATGCCCCACAGAGAAGAAAACTCATTTGAAGCTGCTCTTAAGCATCTCTGGGTAGTTGACTTGCCCTACATAGTGTTGGGAGACCGTGAGAACGAAGGTCAAAGTATGATTTGATATTCACTTACACGATGCTCTCTTGTCTCATAAATTGTGCTTAGCATCAATCGTAATTGCAATGCAAACAGCCCAACAGTTTAAAGTCTTGTCACTGGTAGGAATGCAGAGCACAGTAAGCTGACTTCTATTGTTGTACAAACTCGCAATAAATATATTATTAGACTTGGTCCAGGTCAGTGCTACTGTTCTTGCTTGTTGTTCTACATCCACGTTCCTGATTGGGTCTATAAACCAAGATACTAAACGTCTGATGATGTTCACTTGGATGAAAGTCCTTTATTTCTATTTGCTCCGTACATTTTTTATTAAAAAAATCCTTGTGTAATGTTAATAAAGCCAAGTGAAAATCTCATGCAGAGGGCTTTTCCTAATTGTATAACAACAGCAAGTTCCATTTATAATAATAATCCTTGCATTTGATATAGCCCCTTATCACATCTTTGAGACTTCTCAAAGCGCTTCACAGAATATACTGTAAAGTAAATTGACTGTATTTTGTGATTGAAACACCTACAAGTAGGATAACGTCTCAGAGCAGTTTACAATGACGGGTCGGATGCCAAGCAGGGGAGAGGGAGCGAGGGAGGTAAAAGGTGACCATAGGCACGAAGATGTAGGTTTTAGGGAGGGAATTAAAGACAGATAGAGGGTGCAAAGTGTAGGGGTAGAGGGATTGAATTCCAGAGGTTAGAGGTGTAGAATCTGGAGGCTTGACCACAGATAATGTTGTGGAAAGGGCAGGGGAAGTGCAGGTAATCCAAGTTAGTCAAGTGGAGAGGGCGTGAAGTTTGAAGGGATTTGTAGGTGAGGGTGAGGACCTTGCAAGCAACCTGCTTTAGAGACTGAAAGATTGGTAACTAATGGAACCTGTCAGGGATTGGACTGATGGGTGTGTGGAGTTTGCTGCAGATGAGGATGGAAGTGGTGGAGTTTGGGATAAAAAGGTGAAAAGGCACTGTATCAAATGCAAGAATTGTTGTCATTATTATTATTATCCCTCCCTCGTTCAATCACTCGCTCACTCCATTGTTTACTCACTCCTTCCGTCACTCATTTGTTCGCTCCCTCCCTCCTTCCCTTGCTCACTAAATAAATCAATAAATAATACTAATAAACTGGTCACTCAATCCATGACTGTTTGTGGGGCATTGCTGTTCACAAATGGCTACCAGGTTTCTCCCACAATATACAGTCACTCCACTTTACAGTATATTCTGTGAAGTGCTTTGAGACGTCTCAAAGACATGATAAGGCGCTATATCAAATGCAAGGATTATTATTAATATAAATTGCAGCTTGTGGATGATGGAGCTAAGGAGACTGCATTTGAAAAGTCGACTGCATTTGAAAAGGAGGTAATGGAAGGGTGGATAAGGGATTCAGCAGGTTTGGTGTGAGATAGGGGCAGAGGCGGGCATGAAGAAAACCAGTCTTGGTAAGGGACTGGATGTGAAGGAGAAAGGAGAGTCAAGAATCAAACTGGGCATTAAAGTAGCGTACTGTTTCAGTGAGTTTCAGAGAGAAGCCTGGAAGGTTGAGGGGTCAGACCCAGAGCTGAAGAGACATTGGTATGAGCCTAAGAAGGTCAGTATAGGCATGTAACCTCAGATATTTCAATACCACATGGACCTCTAACTATCAAAATGGCTGTAAATTACAAATGACAAAGTGACGGGGGTAGGAAGAGTATAAAGAAATTACCACCTTGATTGGTGTGC